CCGCTTAATGCGCCCGTCGCTTATTAAGCCCAATTTGGTCTGGGCCCGAGGTTGACTTAATAGCCGGCGACTACTGTACCGTTTAATTTAAAAAAAAGCTTTTGGAACGATCCCTCTATTCCTTTTTAAGTACATACTGCGCGAAATGAAGGTGAAACAGAGAATGCTAAAACTATCAAGGTTATGAGAAACGAGAATGATCAGTTTCTGCCTGTTTCCACTCACGTGACATCTAGGCACTACATTTTATTGAGTTTTATTTTATTTATTTATTTTATGTAGTCTTCCATGTATACTGTACGCTTGGTGCGCCCTAAGGTAGTCAGTGTCGAGTCTTTTGAAGTACTTCCCTTAGATATGAAATAATATCTAACGTGCCCATTAACTCAAATATCACCAGGCTTTGGACCAATTGTTAGTTCTGTGTACCGAGTTTGTCGTACTACCAATTGCGGCGTGTTTAAAAGCCTCAAAGGTAAGACAACAATTGCTTCTAAAGGATCATGGTTTTTCATTAACTTAAGGTGGCATTCATAAAGCAAGATGAATAATTTTTCATGCGAAAAAAACGTTAAGACGGTGTGGAGTTGCTCAATAAGCTGACCTGATTTTTAAAACGTTGATGTCGGATCCAGTCTGTATGTGCAAACACAAAAGTGAAGTGACACATTCCAGGTAGAAAACAAGGTTGTGAGGTGCTCAGTAGCTTATTTTATAGGCAAAAATCAAGAATTTTATTAGGGAATAAATTTTTCAAGAACTTTTGCTAGAGCGGATTTTTATGAAACCTCGATAATTATTTATGTCCGAACGAGACCTCGCGACATGAAGACAGGAATAATAACCGATTTCTTTCATGAGTCAGGAAAGAAATAATTTGAAAGATAGGCTGAGAATATATGGCTAAACAATCGGTAGGAGCTCAATACTTTCTTGATAACTGAGTTGGGATACCGCCAATTCCAGAAGAGTGTGAGTTTTTAGACAGATAATGTGATCACGAATTAATTTTACGAAGAAATCCATTGTACTGATAATACTGACTGAGTATGCTTTAAACGACGGAACGGGTTCCAGTTTGGTCGCAGGATGGTTTGCGAGGCATACATTAAACAATTTAGCCCTGCCAGAGACCGCGAGATCGAAGTTTTTATCTTTATTAAGTAATGGGGGGATTCTGTGACCTAAGTTAGTAGATGGCCAACGATAGATCGGTCGAGCAAAAGATTTTGCAGAGTTTAGTTCGCTGATTGCGTAAGATTGCTTCTGCCTATCTCATCCAAAACGAGTCTTAGACGCTAAATCGAAAATCTCTGCGATACTAAGGTGAAAATATAATGAACTAGTGGATTGATCTTTCAACTGCCTTTTCAATATACTTAATCTTTGCAAAAGAAAGTGAAGGACGGTAAAGTCCGAAGCGTAGATTAAACAATTTTGGTTGGCACAAATTCTAGGAAGTTATTTAAAACGGGTGACATGATTTTACAACGAATTGCTACGTTGTTCTACGGGGAGAGATGCTACCACTCTAGCGAGTCAACAAAACTCTTAATCAAGCTTAGATCGATGAGACCAAAAGCATGATGGTTAAGAAAGGCGCTAGACCTCGTAGAAATGAGCGGAAGGCAGCAGCGAATCAATGCATGTTAACTCTCAAAGAGGCCCTGCTTATAATCAATGAAGAGGGAGGCTATGTTTTTTTTTACTAAAATCACATCTAAAATATTTTTATCTCTCGTTGAGAATCTGACTAGCTGAGACCACCTTGAAAAAATAATGGCATCTAGAAATGGCCGAAATCTGGGTGTAAAATAATTTAGCTGCCAGTCCATTTCCGGAAAGTTGAAATCTCCAGCGATTATTTTCACTTCAAAGGCGAGGCAAAGCTTCCGATGATAATCTTCTGATGATGAGTTAGGGGGAGTTAGGGGAGAATCACTTTTTGGTCGGGACGACAGGATAATCGATGTGTAGCAGTAATTGCTGGAGAATTTCACGACATTTAAATCGGGAAACGGGAAACGCTTAAAGGACGCCTTAATGGAGAGCAGATCACCACTACCACGCCTAAGCAAAGAAATAGAAAATAACTGATGGCTCCACGGTCATATTACGCATCCGGCTTCGGATCTCAATTGGGATATTATATGATGACTCAGCTGAGACTTTTAGATTCTGCAGAAAACACCGCACACTTTTTTTATGATAAAACTGTAGTAAATTATAAAAATCGCAAAAAATTGTTGACCGAAAAGTTTAAACGAGGAAGATTAATTATAATTTTTGGCATACAAGGGATGCGGACAAGAGCGACCAGGAGAAAGTAACGTGAACTTAAAGAGACTGGCCTCCCGAAACCATCAAGAATCACAAAATGCGCAATAACCAAAAGGTCATCATTTTAGTATGTTAAAACACGCAGTATGTTTCATGTTTCATCAATAGAGGATAGGGAACGGATCCGTGTAAACCCCT